TTCGGAGTCAGCACGCTGACTCCGGGGGGGGGTAATAACACTGTGGTCATAGAGAGAACCAACACTGTAGAGGCTTGGGTTCAGTTTTGTCAGTGGCTCCCTTCAGCTTGGATGTACCTTCCATCGTCCATGTGTGGAAAGCCATGGAAGGTCCATGTCCTTGTAGAGTGGGTTGCAGTAGAAGGGAAGAGGAAATTGGAGGACGGAAATATTTTGGCCACAGAAGTTCCGTGCTGGTAATTGAACAAAGCAACTGGTGACAGTATGTGTATCAGAGGATGCACATTTTTGTTGACAACAGACAAGAGTCGAGACTGGAGACAGGGTCTGCATGCAACGGAATTGTATTTTGTTTTAAGAGACACAGAAAAAGATATGTAATGGGAACCTTCATAAGATGAAAGAAACAGCCTCCCTTAGACTCTGCCAGAAGCCTTGAAAGTGATCTCTAAATTAGAGCCCTCTAATGCCTGAAAAAAGTCAAAGCCTTTGATAAGAAGGTCGTGGCAAGTAGAGTTTGCTGCCGGCTGGCAAGACAAGGCAAATAAATATATTTATATTTTGCACAAGTCATGCACTTGGGGAACACCCTGTGCTTCACAGCCACAAATTTGAACTGTCCTAAGGCACCCTCACCAGACAAGCACAGGCTTGTATGCAAGTTTCATATTGTAACCTGTGCGAGTACATTTATTTCAAACATCATCACGATTGTGATTGATGCAGTTATATAGCAGCAATTCTGTCGTCTAGTTTTTTCTCAGACCACTTAAATTAAAATATGCTGAGAGGTTATTATGTCATTTTTGTGCAATGACACTAAATATGATGCTCACACACACACTCTTCCACCTACCTTCTACCTCTCATTCTAAACTCTTCCGCTTTGCCTCTTTTTTTCAGGCCGCTCATACTCCAAGACCCTACAGCAGGCACCCCTCTCCTTACTTCCCCGTCGTCATTGCCAGCAGCATTTCCACAGTGCCTTCACAAGCCGCATGCTATGCGCCGGAAGCATCCAGTCAGAGAGGCGTGTGGACAGTTGCCGCGGTGACAGTGGAGGTCCGCTGGTGTGTGAGCGTCCGGGGGGGGGTTGGGTGGTTTACGGGGTCACGTCTTGGGGTCATGCCTGCAGGACACAGCAGTCTCCTGGCGTCTACACAAAAGTCTCTGCCTTCAGCTCCTGGATACGCAAGGTGATTGTGCGTGATGACAGAAAAGAGAACAAGCGATGAAAGGTGAATGACAAGTTGAAACAATTAACTGCTCGATCAGAAAGAATGACTCAACTGGTTAGGCGACAACTGATACAACAATAGAATGCAGTCATGACTAATTGATGTCATGATGTTGTTCCTGATGTAAGTTATAATCTGACAAATGGAGAGCAGAGTGCAACGCTGGACTTTTTCCAAATATAATTTTATTTTATATTTTTTGGAGAGAGGAAGGCTTTTCTGTCTTTTCTAAGTCATTAGCACTTATTTTAATGATTTCATATGGAGTTAAATGTCAACTCAAGGAAACGGCTAACTTAAATTTATTTTTGTTGTATCTGACATTGCATACTACACTAAAATGTTTTCTTTCCATAATAGTAATGTTTTCTGTGATTGCTTTTGTTATAAAGTTGTATTGTAATTTATGACGTGAAATATGTGATGAAAAATGTTGTAAAGGGACCACAGAAAAACAGTATGCATGCATGCGTGCACAGCAAGTATTTGGTATGATATTACCTTGCAGACCTGCACTATGAACCCCTCTTTAGGTGCTTAATGCATAATAGTCAGTGCTTTTGTGTTAAGCATTCTAGTCATATTGACATTGGCCAAACTGAAATATATGTTTCAACATGATTTCATCATTGTTATATGTAATGTTTCTGTGCTCATTGTTTTGCTGTGTAAAAAGCAGATGTCAGGTCTTTGTAATTACTCAGGCATTTCCATAATTTACATCAAGTCAGTATTTGTCCTTGTCTCAGTGCTGCTTGACATTTTGCAGAGAAAGGAAAGGACTAACGTGTCTCTGAATCAAAGCACATGACAGTGTTGATTTGTCATATTGACACTGTTAATTCATGTCGTTAAGTGTTGTGGCGGATTTGACAACACTGAATGGAGACAATCTGGTACACTTGAAAAAAAACGACACTGCCTTTTTATTTGTGTTTACTGTTTATATGTTATGATTTAATGTACTGTAACATTTCTTTATACATTTTTGTAAAAAATGGAAGAGGGAAGGTGGTGAGCTTCATATTCTGAACCACTCTGGCCCAGGTGTGGCTCATGATGCTGATGACCCAGGTCCTGCAAGACAAACCAGAAGCCAGCAAGCAAAGAGTACAGATTGGGTCAAAGGGTCAATATTATATAGGGAAGTAACAGTTTTTAATCAAAATTGAATTATAAGTCAACCACACGGGATGGTTCCACACATGAACACAGAGGCAGGTAGTTCATTTAACTAATAATGCTAGAGGGGACAACATTTTGCAGGGGAATGTTTGTGGGCGTTAATGTGCAACTCCATCAGAATTTATCTTGGCTTACTTCTGCTGAGAATTGATTGCCTTAACCCGAAGAACTGCTCTCAGCTGGAGCACAGTTGTCTGAGGCCCCCCTCCTGTGGTCATTATCATGCATTACAAAACATTGGCTAATGGTTAATATAAGGAAAATCAAACATCCAAAACCTTCCTATATTTCCTGTTTAAAGACACGGTGATGCTTGATGAGTATTTTGACATAATAAAACATGTAAAACATTACTAACCATAGAAGACATATATTTCAAATTATAAATGTCCTTTTATTATTTGGGCTGAAATCAAGATTAAAAAACTAAACATATAAATGAAATCAAGAAAAAAAAAAACATGGATATAGAGATATAAATATAAATCTTAATTGAATGAATGTAAAGATTTATTGAATCTAAGATTTAATTTCATAATGTCAATCATAAAACTGTCATGGCAGTGTGTTTTTAATCTGAATATTGAAACCCTTTTCCTTATGATTTTGCATTGTTCTTGTGTTGGTTTTGATGTTCGATGTTTTCGTCTGCTGATTTTTTGATTCTTGGAACTCCAATTATTCAAATCACTCAACATAGGCAAATCAATATCAAAGTATTATGCACAGACATTCAAATGAGATGAAAAGAGGAACCAGATTGGCTGATTATGTATTTTTCTTTTCGCTATTCCCACTGAACCTTTAGCCATAGCTCTCTGCACTAATGAGCCTATGACACCAGAGGTGGTGCAGAACAGACGGTCTCATTATACACGGATAATTTATTTCTACTAATATCTGTTTCCATCCCTGAAACTCTGGCAACATGTGGAAAACCCAGTTGGGAAAGATCTGAGGGTAATAATTAAACCTGCATAAGAGACACATCACATTAGCTGCTAAATGTACCCTCCTCAGCTAGCTGCTTTAGAAGATGGATTAAGAAGTTCATGGATTTGGGATTTTGATTACTTTTAGACTGATTACATCTAGATGTGCAACACTTGAGTAATGTACTTCCTTTATCTTTCTATTATAAAATATGTATTATTTATAATCAGATATTACGTAGACCAAATTGCAAGTCTATTCTTTTTATCAATAACGATCTGTTTAATTAATGTTGTAAAAACAGAACATTACAGCCATTATATCATGTCAAAAAAATTGATTCATATATAAAGTATGCAGTTCATAGACTTAATATGTAAAAACTCCTTCCTGCTATTAACTGCCCCTGGGAACTCTGCAGTAGAGATCTAACTCTGCTGTAAATGAGCCAACTGGAATACCTGCAATTATTTCAGTCCCCTTCACTCACTCAGTTCTGGGAAGCCATTATGTATATTTCAACTTTCATCCATATCTGCAAAAAGTGGTTCTATGAGTGTAACATTTGAGAGTTGCTTAAAAAGAGTAAAAAAATGCTGACATTCACATGCTGTGTGTTTTCCTTCACTCCTGCCTGTCACAGCTCAGTTCAGACCAGATGAGCAGGCTGCTAAGAAAAGTAATTTATTTACAAAAACACATACAAGTAATGCAGTTTATAGGTATCAGCTAATCAGTGGTGGACTGCATGTATGGTAGAAAGAGAACATAAAACAACCGCTGCATCATGCCGGAGGGACGACAGGATCTCCCCTAGAGAGGCCAAAGCTGCCAAATGAGGGAGGTATTTATGGCCTGAGTAGGCAACGGGCTAAGGTGTGGCTCATGCAGCTGACGATCCTCCATTCAGCACCTGCAACAGACAACCAGGAACAAAACTGCAACAGGGACACCTAGTGGATGGGAGGAGGAGGGTCGTCACATGCCTTACTGGCGATGGATGTTTTTATTGATTTCTCACACTGTACAGTCGGACCCATCAGACGTGTTTGGGCAGTCGTGTGTGACTTCATGGCTAAACGTTGTTTCCTGTTGCTTTGGAAATGTCAAGGCCCTCCATCAGATTCAAGGTTTATTGCAAATTTCTACATTTTATGTACAGAAATAAAAACAAAAAGCTCAACAGCAGATTGACAAGTACAATCTCGCCTGGCAACCCTCACTTTCAGGGTTGACTCTCAGAAGATACAGCATGGAATCTTCAGCTGCAGTAATTTACCAAACAAAGAGGACTGTGAATGGTGTGAGTGTCTGCTATTTTGTTGTTTGTCTATATTGGCATTCTTTCTTGCTTTATTTTTTATTGTGTAATAGCATTGTCTATACTTTACAGTCTGACATGTGTGCTCTGTGCATTTCTGTGTTGTATTGTGAAAACAGGAATAGTTACACAACCTTGTTTTTAACTGAACATTATTGTATGGTAGGTTAGTTCCTGGTGACCGTTTCCTCAAAGAGCAAACTGTCTTCTCCATGTCATTTTAAACTTACCTTGAGTCTATTGTCAACCATTCACGCCAAAGATTAGAATTCACAAGTGTGTATTCAGGTGTGTCCCGGCACAACATGGTTCATCCGTGTTGCTTCCTCATTAAAAAAATAAATCGTATGCCATCAGTAATATCCATTTCTTTAATTTCTGTTTCTGTTTGACATTTAGGGTTTTTTGCATTCAAATAGAAGCTCAACAATGTAGGCCACTGGTTTTAAAAAGGAAAGAAAAAGGAAGTTGAGACTTAGATGAAAGACTGACAAAACAAAAACTGCCTGCAGTTACAGTAGCTACTTAAAGAGTGTGGGAATTGAGTGTCATATCCATTAAGCTCATTTTGGTCAGCTTTCTTCACAAACTCATGTGCCCTCAGTCCTTAGCGCTAAAGCCATCAGCGCTCATGCTCTGCTAAATGGACACAGCGTTCTTCTGCATGGCTCGTCACAGGAAAATAATGAGCGGGCAACGCATCTTGCTTGACTCATTTCTAGGCCATACTTTCCAATGAAAGCCTCAAGGGACATCTCTAAATGTGAACAAGGCTACAAGATCTACCAGAAACTAGCTTCACAAAATGAACTTAAAAATGAACTCATAAAACAATGAGAACCTATCGTGGGAATCCTGTCACTCACCCTGAGTCTATGCACTTATCCTCCCTGCTTATTCACTCTCATTGTGACAAAAAACAACAACTAAAAGATAGAAAAACAGAACCACATAGGGTGAGGTTTTTTTTTTATGTCTTGGAAACGCATGAAACAGAACTTAGTGCAAAGTCATCTCTATAGGAACCACGCACAGCTGACCAGCGCTGTTCTGGCATCATAAATTAGAGGTGAAAATTAAACAAAAAGTAATCAAAGTCACTGCAGCTCTTCACGAGAGTTCACCACATTTCAGAACAGGGTTTGAGCATCAGACACTTGCCAGTCATGGTTCTCTTCATCCTTATAATGTGGCTCTTCCTTCTAGTCCCACATTCCGCAGAGCTGGCAGAGTCACCTGGAGCTCTGATTCCTCCATCCATCCTTTCATCCTTCCAAGAGTTCAAGCTTCAGCCCGCTGCTCCCTCCAGCTGTGTCACAGCTCCTAGGTGAAACAAGGCACCTTGTCCTTGCCTTCACCTCAGGGTTCACTAAAAGGCCACAGATAGATCATCTGATGGTCAGGTGCTCCTGTTCTTTGACCCCTTGACCTTTAACCCTGGTTCATGGATGCAAAGGTTATCTAACCTTCAGAAAGAGGTAACGAGAGCGAGGGGATAGAGAGGGAAACAGAGAAGAGGGAAAAGGGAAGAAAAGAGTTGTTAATTTAATTTTGTTTACCTACTGATTCAAATGCCAACCATGAAAAAGGAAAGAAAACATGCTGCAATTGCTGCGAATGGGCTGAAAAACCTAAACAGACTTGTCAAGTGGCTCCCTCTAAATCGCAAACAGTGGCAAGCAGTAGCACAAACAAATCCACAGACAAAAGAAAAACAATGTTGAGCACTGTAGAAGAAAGAGGGCTCTGCAGAGAACAAGGTGAGACGACTGTCAGCAGCACTTACACCAGGAAGCCTCATTTAAGTGCATGCTTTGTATACCTCGACAGGATTAGGAGGTAATCAGAGGATGTTTTTTTTTTTGAAGAAGCCAACAATATTTGTATTCTCTTTGTATTTTGAATCATCCATTGATACCTTTTGTGTTCGTTGCTTGCTTTGCATGGTTAAACTAAGGGCTTACAGGCCCTGAAAACATAATAGATTCTTACTATGAGTCATGGGGTTCTACATGAACATAAATCTTTCTGTCAGAACAGTTAGGGTTATTTAACATGGGGGATTTCTGTATTGTGTTTTTCTTTCCTTTCTCACTGGTTTGAAGTGAGCCGGGCTCTGTTAAAAGAGATAATGACAAATATATTTTCATGCACCAATCAGAGGTGAGCAAAGTTTGAATCAAAATTTGGCAACGCTTAATAAATAATAACTACTTTACCAGGGCCCAGGGCACTTTGCTGCATGACATCCCCTCTCTCTCCCCTGCCTTTCCTGTGTATCTCTATTACTATCAAATAAAGCAGAAATTCCCTAAAATAATCATAAAAAGATACTTAAGATATGAAACCAAGTTTTCAGGGGCTTCAAGAACAAGTTTTGCAGTCTGCTAACGTAAGTCCATTTTGAAATGTTGACTTGCATTTATAAGCTGATGAGATAAGTGTCACAGAGTTGAATGCACGCTGACCTTCTGCAGCTCCTCTCTTAGCCAGGAGGGGAGGGGCTGTCCGAGGCGATGCAGCAGCTTTGACAGCTCCACGTTGTGTTCCCTGTAGTACCTGGAGAGGTATGCATGCGCCTGAAGAGAGAAGAGCAGGAAAAAGATGGAAGAAGAGGAAGGGTGAGTGCAAAATAGGTAAGAGGATGAGCACACATGGGAGGTGGGGGAGTGAGGGAGATCGAGTGAGGAAATAAAACATATAGGGAAAGAGTAAAGATGGTGAGTCAGTATTCGATAAGTGGCAGAGGCAGAAGACAGAAAGTATAGTAAAATATATGGAAATAGGCAGTAAATGGGGGAGAGACATGAGCAAGGAGGAAAAAAAACGGATTATAGAAGGAGACAGGAAAGGTGAATGGAAAAATGGTTGGAGGGAGGCATATTTAGAGGAGAAAATAAAAAGACAGCATGAGAGTATGGGGCAAATAAGAAATTGAGAGAGATTAATGATGTGCCAGCATCTTTAGATTAGTTTATTTCTCCTCAATAGGACTTTAAGGCCACTGAGTGCCATGTGGTATGAAAAGAGAGGTTAGAGTGAGGAAGAAAATTATATGAAGGATGTATGAGATCCATTATCCCTCTCCCTCCTGTGTGCATCCCTCATTTTCCCCTCTGTGTCTGTCCTCCCTGGTGTTCCCTCCATTTCCCTCCTCCTCATCTGTCCTCTGCTTCTGTACCCTTGGTGAAAACTCAATTGCAGTTTAATTACAGGTGACACTGAGAGGCAGCCATTAGCCATGTGTGAGCACATGAGGGAAGACAAATTGTCTCTATGTGTGTTTGTCTTCATGTGAGAGCAAATGTGTGATTCATTGTTGGCAGGTCTGGTCTCTCCTCTGTTGAATCAGCAGCCAGGACAAAGATTTATGAATTGGATTTTCTCCTCCCCCCCCCAACACACACACACGGGTGCTATGTCACTATTGAGTCCCCGTAATTAGGTTGTAACTTTCTGGCTGGATCTGATTGGCTGTCAGTTTCCACCCCACCACTGAGTCCTGTGGGAAATTTTGCCACAGTGGTGGAGGGGACTGTGTATCACTGTCAGTCAGGCTGCTGCTGCTTTTTCTTTTTCTCTAACATTTCATTCAATGCATATAATTTTTTCAGTGAACAGAAATCTATTCTATTTACAATGTGTATGTTTACCTCTGACTCCATAGGAGGGTACTTTCTTCCTTTGCTCTTTCCCAAACATTTTGTCTTTCCTCCCTCAAGGAGCTGGCACCAAAAGCCCTTCTGAGGGTCAAACCTGGGATAAAACAAACAGAGAGAGACGGATGGAAGAGAAAAAGAAGAGAAATCTTAATACAAATTGAAATAATTATTTGACCTAAGTTATGGTAAATGGACTTGTACAGTGCCTTTCTAGTCTTCCAACCACTCAAAGCACTTTAATATTACATGTCATTCCCCCATTCACACCCATTCATACAGGAACAGCCTACGGGAGCAATTTGTGGTGATGAACTAGCGGAGCCGGGGATCGAACATTCAATCCTCTGATTGGAGGACGCCGACAGTATGTCCTCCTTGTTTTATCAAACGTGTTTTAGATATAGACAGTTGGCTTTATTTATCCCCTGAGGTAAATTAAAACACCATAGCAGCAAGACAAAAAATACAAGGCAATAAAAAAAAAAAAACACAGGTTCACATAAACCAACGATGGAAACACAACAACAGGACGAAGACACACAGAGTTGCTATAACAGGCTGCCGCTAGCAAAGCGACACCCTGCCTTATCTTCGATAAGTCTCTGTCCAATAAAGTATTTTGTTAATAGGAGATGTCTTATAATCAAGACTCACTCTAGACAAAAAACACAGTGGAAGATTATCTGACTGCCTTAGTTTACAGGTACATGACCAGATCAATTCAGTAATTAAAAGAGCAGACATCAGAAAACATGGCTCCCAAAGAGAGATAATAACAAGGAGATAAGAAAGATAACGGTTAATCACTTGGAGATGTACATGCTCTGTATGTGCCCTAAGATGGTACTTCAGTTCATTACTAAATGTAAAAAAAATACATAAATGTGAGAGAGAAATATTTCAATACATTTGATGTCTCTATAACGTTCCTATATTGGCTCGATGAGTCTCCCTTGTGAAGCCAACTTGCCTCTCAAATTAGCATTGTGCAAACACTGTTGCACCCCAGCAGCAGGTTATGTGACAACCTATCAAAAGGTGAGGAAATGGTAGGTGACTTTCAAAGCAAAGAACCCTAGTATATACATGCTTGTTGACCTGTGTATATGCATGAATACATAGACATGTATATACTGTATATTTATGTCTGCACATATACTGTATAAGCATATTTGAGTGTATATTTGCATATGAGGTATGTATGGGTATGCCTGCACAAGTACTGTTTATTTGTATGCATGTTTATCTCCTACATACTGTAGATTTCTTTGAAAATGTCTATGCATGTATACATTAATACACCTTGCTTTTGTAATATAGTAGTACAATGTACGTCTAAAGAAGATATAAAGATATACATTACTGTCAACTGCTATTTGGCAGTCAGAGTGTAAAGGCTAATGTTGATGTGACTGAAAGATGCAAATATTGTTCTTTATCCGCATGCATCAGTGGGTGAATAAAAGAGAAAAAAATAGTTAAGTGGTTCTCCTTCAGTTTTCCTCTGACAGAACAGGAGGAAGAAAAGAAAGGGATTAAATAAATAGACTCCAGTGTTGAGGATCTGCCAGACCGCTGCCATGTCAAAAGAATGAGAAGTTGAAAAGAAAGATTAGGCTTTTGTGTAACTCTGTCTTCACCCAAAAATCACACACACACAACTGCTTTATTATTCTGTCAAAATGCATCTCTTCACACATTATTTGTATGCATGCGGGCTTGTGATTCAAGACAGAGGCACTCTCTGTCCCAATCTGAGCTACATATTCCAGATGTCCCTGTCTGGTGATTTGAGGGCTTGCAAGCAGATGCATTCTGATGAGTGGTGCTCAAGATGAATGAAGCAGCTACCACTCCTACCAAACTTGAAGGTCACATGAAACATCTCTAATGGAGAATGAGTTGAGAGCATCAAGAGGCCAAAGCAAATTTGGTGGATATGCATATATTCTAGGCTACATCATATTTCGCTTTACAATAAAAAACGTTGTTTCTCCCTTTTCGCCTGACTTTTTTTATCTGTTGTCAAATAATGCAATGTCTATATTTAGTTCTTACTGTAGAAGTTGCTTTACTTATTTACTTAGGTTACTGGTGTATTTGCTGTTTTAGTTCTTTCGGATTGACAGTGTGCAGTGCACCAACGTTTTCGTTTTATTTATTCAGAGAGATGTAATGCAGACAGGCAGGCAGTGTAAGTGAGACAGTCAACGCTCTGTTGGGATTTGATCCCTGGCCAGCGGCTCAGGGGGCTGAGACTTCACCACTCAACTGTCTTTTGGCAAGAACAGGCATCAATTTTTTATTGCTGCTTGTGTATATGTAATAAAAACATTATTTATGGACTTCAAAATTGTACAAGCAATGTAATCAAATGTTAATATTCCTAATATGTTTGGAAGTGATGCCTAGAATATGAGTGTCAGGAGATGTAAGTGTCTATCATTCATGACCGGCAATTAGAATAAATACGGCTTTCCGAGTCGTTACACGTTACACAAAATTACCTGCTACGTTTTTTGACACTTATAAATTACTCCTTTTTACAACCGTAACCTTAATTTGCAATTATACCGAAGAACTTCTGCCATGTCCTCTATACTTAAAGGTGTATACAAAATTCCACGATGTTTATTTTCTCTTTTTTGCCTCATCATCTCTTTTTCGTCTTGTATCTATATCCTCTTTGCTCTCTCTATTGGGACCACATACTACTACATACAATTTGCCCCTTGACAATAGTCCAAACCTCAATTTGAGTAAAGGAATAAATGTAACAGCTCACAGCAAGCTGTGAATTGACCATATGCTATTGGCTGATCTTTGATGCCAGGTGATGTCACTGCCTGTTGTAGTTTTTAGAGAATGACACCACCTGGCACCAAAGACTGGCAAATTGGAGATGACCAGCTTAGTGTCCCACTCTTCACCAATAGATGTCAGGCTTCACACAGATTTGGGTTTGGAGTGTTGTTACAGCTTGAATCTGTACTAAAAGTTCTATCACGGTGCAGGCCAGGAGAAAGGCTCCTTACCCAGGAACGCCAGGGATGGAGGAGGCGTAAGAGAGAAAGCAAGAGAGACTTACGTAAGGGCCTGGGAGTAGTTGAGGTGAGGAGTGACTCCCAGGAACTTCTGCACTTCATCCATCACTGCTGCAGGGTCAGTTCTCAGCTGATGGCCATCTATGATCATCACCTACACACAGATACATTCATACTGTAACACTGGGTACTATTAACTAAGTTGTTTGTGAAAAGCATGGGAGCAGCTTCTTTAGTACAATTTGATCCACTTTTATGATCGCTACAAATGCTGGAAAACAGAACTCTGAAAGCAGCTGTAACATATTACTTTACTCTTTTTCGTGAAGTTTTTCAACTAATTTCTTCAGGCAATGAACAAAGTGTTACTAGTTCCCATCACAGAAAAAAATCAGTGAATGTCATATCTGAAATATTTCATTCCCTTTCTTCCAAATGTGTCAACAACAAATATCATTTTACAGAACCAATACAAGGCTTTTACATTACATACTGTGTTATTTGTGCATGAGTTTGGTATTAGAGCGCAACGGAGTGCATCTGGGTCTGTGCCTGTGCGTACCTGGTTAGCAGGGTAGTAAGTAAGCCACCTTTCTAGGTGTGAGGAGTAGAGACCGGGGATGAGACAGCGGCTCTGCAGGGAGCGGAGCTCGGCCGGTGCTCCCGCTCTTGCACTGATGACATCATAGAAGGTGAACCGCAGGGCTGCGTGGTCCTCGTGAGCTCTTTGATGCTGCGAAGGGTAGCAGATACAGCCACATAAAGAACCACTCTAAATGTACAATGGATCTCATTGCTTGTCTTAAACGTCAAGTAATATATTTACAACTTTGCACGAGAGACTATTTTTTATTGTCGACAATGACATTTGAGCTGGCACGTTGTTGACATTCATGTCTCATTAATGAAACGGACTTGAGCGGAAGATTTCAGGATCTTGTGACACACTGAGACGTATGGAAAAATCAGGCTCATTAACTCCATAGTCACAGTGAGGAATCCCACTCCAAACTCAATCTTGGACACAGAATCCAATTAAAGTCAATACAGAGACGAAGCACGTCATATGATGAAGCAGGCCGCTGAATAGAGTTAAAAAATAACACATGTGCACTGGGATCTAATACAGTATATTCTGTGTGTTTGTGTATGTACCTGATACCAGCTGTAGGCCCTATCAGAAGGGTTGATGAGCAGGGTGATGATCTTTGCCTTGGGCAGCAGGGCAGCAGCTCGACGCGGGGACTCCTCTGAGGGGAAGTAGTTCGCACTCTTCTCAAACAGGAAGTCCGTGCTAACATTAGAGGGCACGGGGAAAAACTCCATGTACCTGCAAATACCATGCAAATGCACATACACACACACTGAGGCCACCAACTCTTACACAGGCAGCACAGCATTTCTGCAAACTCAGTCACCCGTAGTGTAGTGTGCTAAACCTTTACAAAGTCAGATACAGTCTCAAAGTTATGGCATTAATATGTGCTTAGACAGGGAGCCTAAAATAAACTTGACAATATAATTTGAACAGTGTTTTATGACACATTTTCAGAGATAAGTCTTTTCTGGATGACTTCGGATACTGCACCAGCTGTGTATCTGTCAGCTAAGTAACCCATTTATGGGTCAATTTAGGCATCCATATGTCTGTTGGCTTATGTTTGCAGACTTAAAAGACCATTTTGAAGATGTTTTTAAACTGCTTGGAACTCCTTAATGTATCATTGAAGTCTGCAAGACACATTGACATCTACAACAACCTTGCAAAATGGATAAGGGTTGTTTATAATATGTCTTTTCGCCTTAAGTTTTGACTAATAAAAAGGCCCAGAGAGAGAATGATAAGTTTAATAGGATGTGTGTGTGTGTGTGTGTGTGTGTGTGTGTGTGTGTGTGTGTGTGTTTGTGTTCTTACCAGTCAATTCCTTTGTGGTAGTTATTGGTGTTGAAGAACTGGACCTCCTCATACGTCTTTGGACTGGGGAAGTTACTGGAGATGGAGGGATGCATGAGTAGGAAGAGATAAAGTGCTGTCGTTCCTGGAAGAAAGGGTATAATTCATAACCGGCTTGTTAATGCAGCTCTGCAGAGAGTAGTCTGTGTGTGTGTGTGTGTATGTGTGTGTCCGTCAGTACGTGTGAGAGTTGTCATCCACTGATCCATACTGGATGATTTTACCCTCCGCAAGATTTATATCTTGCTGAGAATACACTATGTGTGCAATGACCACAGGCCTCCCTATCAAATGATTCAAAAACCATTTGACACCAATCAGCACCTGGGGCTTTGGTCGCGCCCTCTGTTTCACCCTCAGCAGCTCCCTTTTCACCCCGGTCCCCTAAAACTTACTCCCACGCATCCTGCTACATCCCCCCTGACCCTGTTTTTCCATTTGCTCTAACATGTCTGTCATGTGAGGCATACCCTGCAATAAAATGAGAATTGATTGAACTGTGGTTGTTGTCGGACTGCTAATGTTGCTATAGTGACCCCATTAGAAAATTATCACCTGGTTAATCAGCAGCATTACGGGACCTCCTCACCTCTCACATCAAACACCAGCAATTACAATTCCTGTGATCACACGAAGCCAGTGTATGGGCCATTCTACCGAATTCGTTCAAAGTGCGGTCCCACAACAAGAAAAAATATTTAACAAAACAATTAAGTATTCAGACATAGATATTTAAACCCAAGGCATTAAATTAGATAGTGATAAGCTAAATATATACAAAATCATCATTTATAGGGTACTTTATATTGGGAAGTAGCTGTCCCCAACCCTAACATCTAAATTTCAATTTCTGTAAATAACACTTAAAACAATTTTTAGATTTTGTTCAATGGTGTAATTTCAAAGATCTTTATGATTAAGTTTAAACAGAAGTTGTAAGATTTAGATTTATTGTGGGTTTAATTTTAAAATTAAAAAACTATACCCAAAAAATCATGTCCCCAGTTTTCATGTCACTACCGAAACACAAGAGTTTTAGTCCATTGGCTGAGCCTGGTTTTTAGCCACACCCCTGCATTTTTGACCAGGCAGTGACACTGCATCCCTGTCCCTCATGGCTGAATGGTAAGTAGCTAAATCCCATACTTTTGATATAAATGTGTTCCAAAATCTGAAAATTGGCGTGTAACCTTAAGAATTGTCACTACCGAACACATATTCTCTTCAATTAAGTAAACTTTTTGGGGTTTAATGCAAAGTATTATGTTTTTATGTGTGTACACCTCTTCAAATACGTGTATGCTAGCCATCCGCTTGCTATCATTCTTTAGTTATGCTCAAAGTTAGCTAGAATTGTCACTACCGAAACAGTCACTACCGAAACATATGGTAAAGTATCTCTTTCCATTCATTCTCACTTGGCCATCTTTCGTTCTCATATTCCCATTCCCTTTGAATCAAACTTTATTTCATAGTCTTATAAGATTCCAATACAAGCAATACTTATCATATCTCCCAATGTCCTTTTATTTTACCCGTTATCTGTCTGCCCTTGAGGTCAAAGTCATGCACAACATTGGGCGAAACCGCTTTTATTGACCGCGACTAGAGGACAAGATCTGGTACACAGTGGACAAGGTCGTCACCATCGTCATCCCTCCACCAGAAAACGCCACACAGAGGCATGTCCAGATAAGCCCAAGAGTGTTCACCGCACGATGTGAAAAACTAAATTCGTGAATGGATTTGTGATGGTGTCTGACACCGAACCCCCTTAAACATACAGTACAACATAATATCAGTTATTTGTCAATGTTTTCTCTTTTACTGAACCCACTTGGGTAATTTTCCATTGATAAGTAATGTTTGTACTTTAAATGGTTCTGGATGAACAATTGTTATGTCTTCAAAAATAAAATTATTCTATTGACCACAAAACATTTGTGTTTGTACTATTCCCAACCTAAGGCATGTTATGAGTTAAGATTAATATGATACAACCTTGCAAACAAAATGCTGTGGTCACAACCGAAACAGTGCAGTCACTACCGAAACACTGGATGTTTTGTAAAAAATAAAGTACATTGAGTTATCAACTAAAATGTTATGATACTCATTGGTTTAATGTATGTTCAATTGTATCAATCATCAACTCTGGAATCAATATGATCAGTATTATGCATTTTACAAAGAAATATAGCATTTCGATTTTGATGAATTGTATAAATTGAACTTAGAAATTTGGTACAAATGTCATTTTTATTGATTTAATTGTGAAAACCTTCAATAAATATTTGTAAAAATACTCTTCAGAGAAGGGAAGGAAACACAATCTTAAAAGGTTAATAATAATACTTTTTTACTATAGTGTATTACTATGTTTCGGTAGTGACAATTTTTGGGAGAGGAAAAACATTCCAACACAGTCTGAAAATACAATATAAAAATTGACGGTTCTTTTACTAGATATGGTACAATACGGACAAAGTTTTGGGAATAAAACATACAAAATTTTCAAATATTTCCAACCTGACTATGAACCAATTCGGTAGAATGGCCCATTATTTTTAATAATCTGATCTTTTTTTCTCTTTGAGAGAGACATTCAGAAAAGGAGAGGGTGGTAGCTGGGTGGAAGAAAGGAGGCAAGGGCCTCCTCCTTTGTCTGGCTCTGACAAGACTAAAGGAGCTAGGGGGATTGAATGAATGGGCTCTGATGTTGAGGATCTATAGACACCTGGGCACAGTAAAGGAGGCTCTCTGTTGTATGTGCATGTCTGAGTTTGTGTTTGTGTGTAGCTTACCTGTTTTCTGTGGGCCTATGACCATAAACTTGGGTAACCTGTCACAGGTTTTCTCTTTAGACCAGATGTCTTTATGTCGTTTGTCATCGCATGGGTTCTACAAAAGGCATAGACAAACAATTAGTGATTCAAGTAATGATGTACACATACAACATAAAAACACACATGCCCATATACCTTCAGTACATACAGGATTTACTAACTTTAATGACTCAATGAGGTTGTTGTTGGTGTGTCATGCATACAACTAGCAGTGAGCATGGACTTACAAGACACCAAGACAGAAAAAATAATGCATCATATCATTTTTCAAACAATACTATAAAAGTTTTTTAAAGAGCTACTTGAACAACTTTACAATCATATATATGCTCAGACCTGTATTGTCTACAACAAAATTCCTATCATAAAGAGAAAATCCATTTTTAAAGCTGATTGGTATGACAATGGTTTAAAATGCGTCTATGATTTATTGAATTCAGATGGAACCTTTTTATCTTTTTAAGATGTTACCATCAAATATTAAATTACTGTTTTACGAAATAAGTATGACATTCCTTTACCTCGATTTATACAAAGCAGTATGCAGTTTTCTTTGATTACACCTTCCTTACCTTCTCTAAAAGTTGGTGATGTCAATTTGTTGGATACAAAACAGTTTGTCTGGTTTTAAAAACTAATTTTGGGGACTTTAACTCATGCTCTGTACAGGATGTAGAGGTCACTTTAAGGGGACAGTCCTTTTCCTTTGATCTATATCATGTCCTATTTCTCATAAAGTCATATTAATTATTTTGAAAATAGTATCAGCAATCTACCCTATAGTGTTTCACAAAAGATATAAATTTGAAGTGGAACCTTGCATGTCGTGTTCTTCAGAAGCTGAAACCATTGGCCATTTATTTTTGAAATGTTCATACACAACATTGGTCTGATATTCATAGGTGGCTGTTGTTAAAAATGGTTCCGTCATTTGCTTAAAATTATATGTTTTATTTCATGGACAACTTGGATGCATAATTTCTGACACCGGTAACCTTGTTATTATTTTAGGCAAATGTCATATTCATACTTGTAAGCGGAATGGCAGTACTCCCTCTATAACTGTGATCGTGTATCTATATTTCAGTCCTTGCTATTTTATTGTCTCTTACCTTGCTCTTGCTTGCAGATTGTTTCCTTTTTTTTGTTGTTTCTCATTTTGTAAAATAATATAGATTTGTAGTATATTGGTACCTCTATGGTTTGTTGTTTGTGTCAGACTCTGTTGGACAATAATTTCCACCATTGTTGATAAATTATATCCATCTTTGTATATTAATTCCCTTTTTTATTTTTTATATTTCCCTTGTGCTAAGAAAAATTCTAAATTGCTTTTTTATCTAATACACAAGGGTAAATACCAGTTAAATAGTCCATCTTTCCATTTTTTTCCAGGCTTTTGACACAAAGTTAGCATAATGGAAAATTAACTCTCATTAAATCCACATAAAAGAATATTTTTACACAGGAATGCAGAAACACACAAACCCATACATGTGGGCAAATATCCATGCAAACACACCTGCCAGAGCGGGTTCCTTTGTTCGGGAAAAAGCTGGAAGTACTTGTGTGCAAGCTGCAGGGGTGGGAGTGTGTGGAGTTTCATGTTTGTCCACGAGCGAAGGAAGGAGGCCAGGTGGACGAATGTGTAAAGGCCCAGTCGATCATTGCCATAGTTAGACAAGTGGGTCATGAATATACTGATCTAAGAAGGGGAAACAGAGACAGAGTAGAGGGGTAGAGAGGAAAAGGGAGAGTAGTGAAGAGAAGGAAATACATATATATTGTATTGTGCAAAATTGAGATAAAGTCAAAATCTCATTTCCCAAGTTCCCGTGTTTGGGAAAAACTGAGGCAGCGCAGTAAATCGAATCAATGTTGTTATGACTGCAGTGGGAAGCAAACGGATTATTTCTCAGTGTGTGATAGTTTTAACGTCACTAACAGAGCAGCTGTCCACCGTGTATCAATATTTGCCATCACTTTGGAAAGAGACACACTCACTTTCGTTATGTAAGATTATACATACACTTTCACCGAAATACAGTTTCAAGTAGAAAGAGGAAAACAGATAAACTGAAGCCGATGTATTCACCACTCCTGATAGATAAAGCTGAAGAGGCAGCAGAATACTCCTCAGCCACTGGGTGATGGGAGAGATGCAGCTACACGCGGGAAAGTGTTTTCGAGTGTATCGGTGTGTGTTCATGACGGCTAATGTGTGTGATGGAGAAGGAGTCACTCATAGGGAGTGAAGGAGCGATAGTGTGTTGGTCCAGGCTATCTGTCCACACCTCACTGCTTTTATAGGCTGATCAAAGAGACAAGCTAAGATAGCTGCTACAGACAAATGCATGCACACACACACACACACACTTCTTTTGTGATTGGAGGGAGCTTGGGAACGTGAAGTGTCTGGATGAAACGGTAACATCGGCCATTAAGATATGAATTATTTGGTGGGTGTGAGCATGTGCGTGTCCTTCAGTGTGTGCATGAATGATAGTGGGATATTTGGGAGAATGTCTCTGAATGTGAACAGACATATATAGAAAGACACACACAAACATAGAGAGTGAATTTCCTGGTGACAGAGGACTGTCGGTTCTCCTCTTTAATGCTGAAGGTTGCCGCAGATACAAAGCGACACAGTGTCGGGGTTTGATGGATCAGCGTCCGGCCGACCCGGGAAGCTGTTCAGAATACTGATCGCCCCCGAATACTGATGTGTGTGTGCGTGTGTGTGTGTGTGTGAGATACTGTGGGAGGGAGAAAGAGGAACCAGATGTGTGTGGCTAGTTGTGTGTGTCTCTGTGACAAAGAATGCAACACAGACAGAGGTGCAAGAGTGTGCATGTCGGAGTCATTTTTCGTGTGTGTGTCAGCATAATTGTTCATGCATTTGTGTGTTTGTGTATTCCAGCACAAGTGTGTGCATCTGCCACGGCCTTTGTTTCTTGTGCTCACTTTAAGCAAACCAGCAGTGCACCATCCAGCCGTGCCTGCTTCACATCAATCTGGTTGATGTAAGGGCAACAATGTGGAACCACTGTCAAGGCATCACCAACATGCAGTCAACTCGGAACAACAGAAACACACGGCAGAAATAAATGTTTGCTTACTCCTCCTCTCTCGTAATGTCAAAAACTAAGAACGTCTCTCTTCCAAGCATGCATAGAGAAATTGGAGTACTGCTCTTTGAAACGTGTAATATTAAATTCGACAGCGTCTCACCGGAAACATCTATTCACATTTAGGATTGAGACAGGATATTTCCCACAGCACACTGAAGTGGTTTGGGTGGGGGTGAATATTGTAAAATGAAAAGGTTTTAGACGGATACACAGTGAATGCAGACAAATCTGACCTGAGTAAATAAACTATGAAATAAACCATTAACCAGTTCAATGTGTCCCACCTCTCCCTTCTTGTGTTGTTTTGTGCTTTTTTAAAAGCAGGCAAAGTGATCAAAAAGTGATTTATGTTCCTTTCAAACCACTGAATAGCCTATGAAATCTGGCCCAGTACGTGTGTGTATGCGTGTGCGGTTTATGTGCGGGTGTGTGTGCATGAAAGACAGAGAGAGAGAGTAAGAGAGAGAGAGACAGATTGAGAGAGAGAGAGATAGAGAATCTGGTTGTTATTGAACATGGAAACATTCATTATGGAGCTTAAGCACTGACTGCCAAATTAAACAATGGGGGAGAGAGAAGATGATTTGTGTTTGTAATTGGAGAACTGCAGGAAAAGAGAAAGCAAAGTACAGAGTGTGTGTGTGTGTAGGGGGGGGTGGGTAACCTTGGCAGGTGAGTCTGAATTAAAAAAAAAAAAAAGCCACTTGAGAGAGTGTTATTCTCCCGACACAGTGCAAGCCCCAATCCCTTTTGGTCGAAGAACTCGCTGTGGGTAAGAATTCAATTAACTGAACCACATAAACCTTTTCTCTGCATCTGGTGCCACGTCTCATTTCCTGAATATTGGATTGCTTTGAGTCCCTTATGTGCCTTTAATAAAGAATACAGCGCTAATAATTTAACACCAGAATTGGGCTCAAATCATACTTGGATCTGGACTGGGAGGGAAGTGTAAAAATGAGAGAAATGAGCCCAACCCTGCAGCTTCCCTCTTTTAAGCTGTTCCCCTTGTCATTGCTCCTATGCAGCTTCATTTCCTCCCTCTTCTCTCATGCTTTTAAAGTCTTGTTCTCACGCTCTCGTTTTCTGCAAAAAAGTCACTTTGTGTATTATTTTTTCGTCTACTCTCTCCGATCTCATGCTGACCTAGATGCTCTGATGAAGCATGTCAGTCCAACATGGAGTGATGTTCTTCAAAATCCTTGTGCACACATGAACCCACAGCCACACAAACAGTCTCACACACACACGCACACATATGCCATGTCTTGGAAGATTAAGAGAACGCCAGCCATGTATTTGAGTTTGTGACATGCTCCAATCCAGTGTAACATGATTGCATTTTTGAGGAAATTACATGTTTTAAATGAGGTTGGATTTATTTCCACTCTATCCATTTTTTAAATCTATCTCTCTATCCCTCTATCTATCCATCCATCCTTTCATGCATGCCTACAACTCTCACTCTCTTTCTGCTCTGCCTTCTCTGCTGCTTTCTCTCTCCTTCAATGTGTAGCTGAGGTAGCCTGTTTCCCATTACATAGCACTTAGTTCCATATACATTTTCTCCCTGATTGAATTGCTACTAAAAAGAAGCCTACATCCCCCCCCTCCCTCTCGGTTTCCCCTTCACCATCATCGTCCTCTCTCCCCTTCTTGCTCTTGCAGTGTCTCTGCGATTCAATTTATTCTGCCTGCTCCAGTCAACATCTTCTGCCCCTTTCCATTCTGCCAACTTCCACTGCTTTACTCTCACTTTGTAATTTCTACTTTTGGATGCGCGTGTGTGTGTTTGTGTGAGAGAGTGTGTTTGTGTGTGTTAGAGAGTGGCTGTATGTGTTGACGAGCTGCCAAAGCCTTCAGTAGCAATCAGCAGGATTCTGGATAAAGGGAAGAAAGGAGTGGAAATGAGACAAAAAGTGTGAAAGTCCTCCTGAATAAGTTGTTAAAATAGAGAAAATTACAGACAGAAAGAGTTGGAGGAGAGGTGAGAGGCGTGCGGGTGAGCACTGGGTAAAACAGAAGGCTAGGAGGAAGGGAGATTGTGCTGATATGGCTAATAAGCTTAGTGGTAGAGCTAAGCGTTAAATGTCAGCCCTGATATACGTCTACAGCTCTGCTTATGTCAGCTATACACTCATTTGTACAAAAATACACATGCACACATACGCAGATATTTGGATGCTGACACACAAACATATGCACGGGTGTGTGTTTGTGTGTGTGTGGCTGTATGTGCATCACTTCCTCCCTGTATGTGTCTGGATTCTCAAGTGACACAAGATGCCGTGACCTGAAAATTAAATCTCAGTCTGTCTGCCACCTTCTCACCCTTCTCTCCCTGACTCTCCCCCCTCCATGTCTTCTTGTCCTCCCTCTCTCCTCTCTCTCAGCCCTCTCTCACCATCTCTGCGGCCATTTATCGGGGAATGACTTGTGCCCTATTGGCTGTTTGCAGAGTCTAGGTCGTCCAATCGATTGTCGAGCTTATGCGAGACGGGGAGCTCAATGATCGCTGATGCAGCCCGGAATGATGCAAAAGTATCCTAACGCACATGGACACATGCACAAACGCGCGCACACACATACAGTTAATGCACGCACACGCGTACACGCACACATTCAATATGTTGGCTGTTGTCAGTGGTGAACTGCCACCACAGGGCAAATGTGATTTAAATTCGCTGAATGGGAAGTGACAATGTTATCAATGTGCAGATCATCAAACAATAGGAAACCCCCGGGGACTAAAGCAGTGAGCTACCAAACACTATTGATTATACACACAAAGTGCACACACTAATGAAAGCATATGCGTCTGCAAATGGAAACATAGCAGGGAGAAGCAAAAATAAATCATCAGTCTTTACGTATGTTGGAGCATGTGTGCATGTGTGGGTGGACTAACGTCATGGCAGAATAGTTCTCCTCATTAAGACACACAACAAGAGGAGAGTTTCATCTCTTATTACACTGATTAAAAAAGAAGGAAGTGAAAGAGAAGGACAAAAGATTATGGAAACAGAGGAAACAATGTAATTAGCCTCTGTCTTTCAGTAAGAATGTCAAACCCTGTATGTGTGTGTGCGTGCGTGTGTGTGTGTGTGTGAGCAAAAGACAGAGGGCAGGGAGTTGCAGTGAGTGTGCAGAGGCATCCCTCTTGGTTTGTGAGCTCATCTTGAGATGACATCACCGGTGATGTGAGCAAAAAGCATTATTAGGTCCTTTGTTCTTCAAGCAGCAACACAATTACAGTATGTGAGTAAGGAGTCACCCTTTGTATCATAATTACTGCAATGTGTTGGACTTCCTTAATAACCTTTCAATATAATGTATAACAATTCTCTCTCCATAGAGTTTCAACTTTTCAGTGTTTAACTAACAATTTATTTTCCTATAACAATGTCTCTTTACAAGGCAATCCAGGAAGTTATCTTCAATCCAAAGCTATACTACTGGTCTTCCTCAACAACACATAGTTTGTTTACTTGTGCTGCTCAGTCTAACTACTGCAGAGATTTAAAGGTCACATAGTTATTAGTCCCTCTAACAATTCATGCAATGTTTAAATTGGTCATGAAAAGACTTGTATAGGCACAGGTGACTAATCATTGGCTGCACTTTCCCTTCTTATGTTCATACAATTACGCTACCTCTAGTTTTTTACCCGATGCAAACCATCTAGTTCTTTGTCTCTTTTTTTCATGGACCCTTCTGCAGGAAATGTAAAACACTTCTCTTTATTCTTACCAAAGGCCTTTCTTTCCTAAAAAGTGCTACCTGATACAGAGAAGTTTAGAGCAGCAAAATAAAGCAATTATGAGAGTTTTTGTTTTAATGTATACAACCTGATAACAAGCTTATACTGTATATTTGTCATGTATCATTATCATTTTAAGACAATGAAAACTGAGGACGGAACAGGGATGCACTGACTTGCAGAGTCATAAAAACAGTAAAGATTGGCAGACACAAAGTAGAAGAAGAAGAAGAAGAAGAAGAAGAAGAAGGTGAATGGGAAGAAAGAACTAGATTGGGTTGTTGTGCGTAGCTGCACTTGACTCTGTGATGTTCGCGGAGTTCTGACAGCTCCTCTAGTTCAGCAATCCCCCACCTGACACTTCAATACAGCCTGCTGGTCTCTCTCTGTGTATGTTTGAGCATGTGCATGGTATGAGTCAAAGGAAGTTGTTTGGAGATAATTCCTGGGAATTTCTCTGCCTACAGTTAACTGTGTGCATGCATGTGCTTACAAGCACGTGTGCGAACAACTTGGATGCCACCAAAACCTAATTTTTTTACTTAATTCAAAACAAAATGACATGAGCTGACATACACAGTGGGGGTAAGTAAGAGGGGTAGGATGTGTGTGTGTGCTTGTGTGTGTCTGTGTCTGTCTGTGTCTGTGTGACAGCAACTCCCCCTGTGGTGTGACCTAATTTAAAGTGGGGAGATGAACACAGCTCCACAGTAAGAAGCAGCCCCTGACAGGAAAAGAGAGAGAGAGAGAGACACACACACACACACAAACACACACACACACACACACACACACACACACACACAAGGCAAACATGAAAAAGAATGAGCCAGACAGAGGAAGTTACCTTTACAGAGTGAGCGGAAAACCCAGCTGGGCCTCTTTAAGGTGCAAAAATCAAAACGGAAAGTAACAGGCCTCGCTGCTTCTCACTCTGTATATCCGTTTGCATGTGCAAGAGTGTGTGTGTTTAAATGTGTGTATGGTTTTGTGACTCACTGGGTTGAGAAGCACAGTGAGAAACAACTCTCCTCCACGGATGCTTTTGTCCAGTTCTTTAGGTCCACCAGGGTATTCCTTATAGTAGATGGTGTGAGTAAACAAGCCACACGTCTGGCGGGGCAGCACCTACGCATACACATAAAAGGAGGAGTTTTGAATAGCTTTCATTTCATTTCTGCAAATGAACAAATAGTTTATGAGAACAGTCAACCAAGAAAAGTACGATCAGTAGGAAGTCATGTATATGGCAAAAAGTAATAAAGCAAGGAAACGCAGTCTGTCTGTGTGTCTTTTGCATATTGAGAGAACCGTTCATTCTCTCTACTTTACTCTTGGCGGGTTTTCTTGATGTGCAGTGTTGAATTTAGAGCAAACCTGACATTCAATATCAATCAATATTAAGAAACTTTGAAAAAGCAAGCGAACAGCGTTTTGTGCAGCAGTTGGTGCAGGGCATCAGGGCTCTGTGGACTGAGTCGAGCATGTCGTCCACAGCAGGCCTTTATACAGGCGGAGATTTTGCTGTGTTATGCTAGTAGCGGCTGTTGTAGCCTTGAGCCTTAACTCCACACACACTTTCATTTTCAAGCTTGTAGTAGAAGAGCTCACATTTATCAGGTTTGACTTAGGTCCCCCTGGAGCCACAAATGGCTTTCTACTATTTTTTTCACATATGCAGTCCCCAAGATCTGTAAACACACTTTAATGTTCCCCTTTAAGTCGCATATGAAACTACTGTAATACAATGATTTGTGATTAAACAGCCATCTCTGTTTGAGGTCTTTGAGAGTGCTCACTCACCTATTTCAAGGCCAAAGTACAAACAAACTAGGTACCAACATGACTTAAAATAACACAAATAATTCAGCTAGCAGCATAAAATATGACAGATGTAAGGGTGAAATGTACAGCTATAGAGCCAAGGTTGTCCACACGAGAAATATGAGAGCAGACAGCAGAGCATGTCAGGGATATTCTGATGTGTTGTGTCATCCAACATATGGTAATGCTACCTGTTAAGAAGAACTAGTGCTAATTCCACAGATGGTTCAAGTCACATCACAACTCTTGCAGTGTAAGAGACACTTTTTTCACAGCTGATAAAATAAAAAGCACAGGTGTAATTAATAACATAAAAGACGTCTCTGCTCCATTTAGGGGTTTGAGTTGCAGGACTCTGGTATTGTGCATGCTGGTTCACAGTTACAGCTTACTGGGATACTTAAATAAAATAGAACCATCATTAAATGTTACTAGCTCCACCTGTGCCTTTCTTGTAATGACAAGTCAACATGTTTGCTGTGAAAAATATCTATGAGAGTCAAATTAGGGTTGTCCAAGGACACACCATTGACTGCTGTGCATGGAGCTATGAGTCCCAAAGAGAGGTCCAGCTGAGATTACTTCCCTACAGTAGTAGAGACCCTTCATTTTCATGCAGGTGTATGAAATGCACCGGTGAAGTTAAGTCTTCCCTGGGCACCATTCCTCACCCACACCTGTTTGGTATTTTGGGGACTCGTTGTTGTGGAAGGAGAAGATAATGGATTACTTTTAATCCCACCTCGAGCAGGTGTCCCGTGCATCCTTGATCACGAAACCCAGCCACGACGTGTGTGAGTTACATGCCTTGATTGATGAAAGCAGCGTCCCACATGTCAACTTCTCAGATTCTCACTTGTAAATCTAACAATGTTGTGGTTGGACAAGGTTTTAAGAGTGACAACAACAGTTGATTTCACAGCAATGACATGTTGAAATTACAGGTTTTTGGCTTCATATTTTAATACCTGAATCATCAAGTCTTTACAGCTTACCCCAACTGTAATACTTACATTTGTCCAAGATGAGACAAAGTATCCACTGAGAGTTAGTGAGTAAAAAAGTATTTTGGCTGATTTAAAATATATATATTTAGATTAATCTATGCTACAATAAAGCAAAATAATGTTCCCGAGCATAAAAGCATAAAAAGACTAAAAGAGTGCGGGATCTAGTGTTTAACAGCGGATTAATTAATCTCCTTTTCATTAGGTCATTAACTGACTAAAAAAAAGAGAAGAGAAGAAGAAGGTCTTTATTGTGAACTCCTTGTGGAGCACTTCTCTGTGTGAAATAGAGAGTAAAGGCTGGAAGCGCAGATATTGGTTTATCTATAAAACACTGCAGTCGTTCACACTTACACACACACACACGAAAGAGACAGAGAGAGAGAGAGTGAGAAGCCACCAGAGCCACAGACACTCAGCACTATTTCACCAAACCAATTATCCACAGAGCTATAGCTCAAACTGATATAGTATATTTTAAAAAGAAATACGTACACACACACACACACACACACACACACACACACACACACAAACACGCACATTCACAGCACAATCCCATATTTCAGTCTGATTTGTTCGGATACTGTGGGTCCACTGGGTGGCTCTCAATCTGCTGACAGAGACACACAAACACCAATTTTACAGCCTTAAGACAACTTCCTGTCCTCCTCGGAGCAAACAAAGATGGAGCAAGGGGCAGAGGGGAAGGTTGTGAGTGATGTGCCAGAGTAACTATGAGGTTAGGTCCGGAGTCTAGATGAATTATCACAATCTAACAGCTAACCAGCCAATTTATGGCGAAATTATTTTACGTTTAAATTCTGCATGCATGTGCACGTATGCACACACAAACCATCACAAAAAAACCAACTGTCAAATTCATCATCTTTTTCCAAGCCTCCCTTATTTAGTCAGTGCAGCATACAATGTCTTGAAGCAAGAGATGGGCCTCTTCACTATTTCCTACACTGCTTACCTTGCTCCTAGTTCTAAATATATTCAACAATTGCTATTAATTCATTCAAGTTTTTTCAGAGCACTTTTCGGTCATGTTGGCTTAAAAGTTGAGTTTCGAAGAAAATAAATTCTGGTCTCAAGGTCCATTTAGTAGCTGTTCAGGAACATTCGCTCATATCCCATGAGCTTCATCTGCTCCTGATGAGGATGAAGATTGTTTTTGTAATGTGGAAAAGTCTTCAAAGCAAACATATGGAGAATTAAAAATTAGAACATACAACATTCCTTCGCAACTCTGTTGCATTGTTTTCGAGGGACACTGTTGGAGGTGGGAGTGAATTCGATGCAGCATATACTGGACACCTCTGAGACCACCAGTGTTGGCTAATTCTAATTCATAGAGCCGATGTCCAGCTGTGCTTTCTAGAGGTCATTTCATCATAACACTTTCCTCAGAGAATAATTGACGTCTGACTGGACTGAACAGAGTTACATGTGGTCTCTTTGCCAAACATCTATAGCTTGCACCAGAGCAGGGCAAAGCTGAGAGACCAGGAAAGCTCAGCTGATGGAAGCTCACTCTATACGTGATCACCGGCGTTCAACAATGGATCTGATTTGCATGTGTCCTTATTCTCCAACCAATGTGATTTTGGTGCATTGGCAACATTTCCAACTCCAATTTCCAAGTTTATTCCAGCCAATAAAAACTATTATCTGATGTTTTACTTGAAAGACAAAAAGAACAAAAGTGTCAAAAACAATGTTCGGAGAACAGCTGCATCCCTCATTGGGGTTGATGGTAAGCTTGAGAGAATTTTTTGGGGGGCATTTCATTGTATTTCAGCCTATTCCTCTTCAGCTTTTCTTCAAAAAAAACTTTCATGTATAAAACTAAAAGGAGATTTTCTTTTTTCTGCCAATTTGCTTATCCTGTTTTCTGTGCGATGTATCATGTTGAATATGTAGTTTTGTTCGATGGCTTATTATCTAATTCAGTGATTCACTGATGCTTCTCAATACCTTACTATTTGTAATGTATAATAACACATTACAGTCTGTCAAAGTGTCAGCTTGCTATTGTATTGAAAGGATGTAGGATTAAGTGGCTGTCTTTTACGACTGTGACAAGATGTCAAGAAATAAAAGCAGACGTCTAGGACTGATTAGGAAATTGACATAGCTGTCGGTTCAAATTGTCTGCTCAAGACCCAAATACAGCAGAACAACATGGACTGGTAATTTTAGTGTCAGATGTGATTGGCTCTTTTGTCAATAAGAGAGCAGTTATGCACACTGACAAAGAGCCTGGCTGACAAGTGAATGAAGGGGAGGAGGAGGAGGAGGGGAGACAGAGAGAGGGACGAGGACAATTTGCTTAGGTGGAATGGGCGACGGGAGCTTTATTCTATTGCTGTCTCAAACAGTGACTGATAAATTATTTATTGGAGCATGAAATGCTCACATTATTAGATCCTTATTCCTCGATATACACCCTGCACATACACAAATATAGAAATGCACACAGACTTACACACACACAAAAAAGCAAACATCTTTAGCCACCTTGTGACGGCAATAAAATTGAATCAACCCAGAAATGTGGTGAGACGAAGTCAAAGAATACATATCACACAAACAAACACAGACACACACCAGGGTTACACACCACGCAAATCATCATTGATTTTCCGTTTAAGACCACAAAAAACAATCAGCACACAATTTGCTATTCAGCAAACACTTACTTGAACAACGAGACAGTAGATAAAAAACTGTTTTTCAAAGTAAGATAAAAGAATCTAAAGAGACAATGATTCTGCTCTTAAGCTTTGATTTAGAGACCCATGGTTTTGATTTCATTTATTTGATTTAAGAAAGTAGTTTTCCGGGAAGCAAGGACACAACATACCACACTTTGAGTGTTGGTATGATTGATGACCTCTGTATGACCAAATGTGTTGTGTTAAGAGTCGCGCATATAGGATTTCTTCAAATATTGTGATATTCATCGTGTTTAACTGACTAACCTGACTCACCTTTTTTTGTCAGATAACACACACACATCTAAGCTTTGCCTGCCAGGCCAACATATTTTAGAAAATGTGTCTACACACTGCACCAGCACTGACTTTTATCAAAGGACACCCACGAAAACCAGCTGTGGAAACGCTAGCTAAACTGTTACTATCTCTAGCCCTTCAGAAGAAAAAACAAGATGGGAAAAATCAAAACAACAAAATAGTAGAAAACATATTCAATAATAATAGAGGTGTTTGCTGTAGAATGTATTTTTAAATGAAAGCTTTAGCCATTCAGCTAAACAAAGAAAATAGATCTTCAATAATGAATGCCCAGTTTTGAAGGTGTAAATCAATTTATCTGCTTGTGCAGAAGCGCGTCAACTGATCAAAGTGCAGTTATGGATGTGCATGAGCACATTTGGACGGGTGTGTGCTTGCGGCGACTCTTTGTCTTTTTACAGACATGTGATTAGCAATGTTGTCTCCTCACCATGATGCTGTCGTGGATGAAGCCCTTGCGGTAGCGCGCTGGTTTAAGGTGGGGGTACTCTTCAGTGCTGGTCACCTGGATGTTCCACACATGTCTCCAAGCCTTGTACAGCTGCAGGTGAACCGGGTAGACACCCGAGTGGTGAGGGGCCACGGCGTAGCCCATGTCCACTGGGATGCTGTGCTCCTGGAAATGGAGAACATGCATATGCAGAGTCAGACAGGTATGTGAGGGTTATATACATAAACAGAAGTTATAGCGCATTTACAACTCTGACAAAGGATATGGTGGGACATAAACACACAGAGCCCTGCAGGCTGACCTTGTAGAAGAAGCGCATGGTTTGTGTTGTGTTTGTTACGACGCTGGCCTTCAGGTTGAAAATAGTTTGTGTGAGCATGTGTATGTGTGGGAGAGTGAGGGTGGATGGTTGCTTGGTGCATCTTGCAGACGGATGGTGTTGTCCTTCGCTCTGACACACACCTACACACACTGTCAAAGCTAAGCATCAGCGGTCAGGTGATGAGGGAGTGGAGTATGTGTGTGTGTGTGTGTGTGTACAATAGAGGTGAGGGATCACACTTTATGATCATATTCACCTTCAACAACATGAACCAGCCCCCCCCCCCTCACTGTACTGTATGCGTGACACGGCGCTCCAACACCAGCAGGGTCATACAAATCATTTCAACTCACTCACACACATACTAACGTAGCACAGCAAAACAAGGCAGCGCAGGGCAACAAAAGCACTCGACCTTTATGGACGTCAGATGAAACCGGTCTCAGGTGTGCCCATCGAAATAAGTGTATTACTTCCCAACAGGAAAATTACATTCATTTGTTTTTTGTTTTACTGTAGAAAATGAGTTCATGATGGTTATGGCTTATGCTGACAGAAAAACAACAAATTTCCCAACCCAGCCTCTTATAAATATGTTCATGAGCAAATATGTTCTGCAGGAAGTGTAATTCTACCCTGATTATGTTTAATCAACATAACAAAGATGTATATTGTACTCTGCAAAACACTCACTGTCAGTATTGTAATGTGCTATATTATTGGCTTGTAGAAACAAAAACACATTTTAAAGCTACACCTGTAATACACAGAACATATAATCTGGTTCACAGTGTCTATGCCCTGTGGTATAGGAATGTCGCCGGGGATGGAAAAAAACCTAACAAATGAATGTAAACAAGGCAGCAATTATTTTGGTTTCCTGTAAATAATGTAGTGTATGTAACAAAAAGTGTATTCTTTGTGTTAGAACAATTACAGCGCTTTGACCTGCAAACATCATTTCTGCAATCTGCTGTGGCAGCAATTACAACAATTACTACCGGCAAAAAGACGTCCTTGAAGAAAATGCAATCATGGGAAGCAAGCATAATTAAAAGGACACACAAGAAGAACAATGCAACCATGAAATAAACAGCTGCAATAAATGTGTGTATGTGCATGTGTGCGTGCGTGTGCATGTGTGAGTGCATCCATCTCACCAGAGCAAACTCCTTGTTGAGGACCATCTGCTCCAGCAGTGAGGACTCGTTGTGGAAGAGGTGAGGCTGCATGTGGCTCCACATGTGGGGGAACCACCAGAACTCATCCACATACTTCAATAGTAAATCATCTCCTTCGTCCTCCTCCACCGTGCCTGCACACACACACACACACACACACACACACACACACACACACACACAC